TCTGCAGTGCTGATATGATGTACTTGTAAAGGATGTGAGTCTCTGAGGACAGGAATAACAGGCTCCTAAACAGGTCAACAGTCCATATTTGCAGTGCAAACTGTTTGGCCAAACTAGAGAAAACTCAAACTAAGAAAAATAATTTAGCTAGAGAACAAAAGAAAAATAACTACATGATAACTACAAAATAAATCAAACTAATAAACAATCACTTCTGCATCAGGATGCACCCAATTTCAGAACAGGGCTCAACACGATGTGCTCACTGAAAAATGCTTCAACACGAGCTCAAACTCTTGTAAAAAAAAAAAAAAAAAAGTCATCAGCTCCTCCAAATCCAGAAAAAAAAAAGAATTAAACACCAAATAAATATTGAATATGTTAGCGCTCAATCTGTTGTTAAAAAGATAATAGGAATGAGTTCACAGTGGGAAAATAAATGCTCTCCAACTGCATAAAATCCTTCAAACATCAGATAAAACTTCCCCTCTTTAATATGACATGTGGCACATTCTTTACCATAAAAGGTCTCAAACAGGGTCTGGACTGCACTGTCAGTTCCTCAGTCCACATTATGAGGAAGCCAAGTGCAGTCTGAGGAGATGTGAGAAACACAGAAATTAGTCAAATGCAAATCTTAGCACTTGCATTTTTAATCAGATTCTCTTTTTTGTGGCAGAATTACACACACAGCAAATATAAAAGCTTCATTTTTAGAGGTCAGAGCCGTGCATGTAACTGTCATTTAAAAAGAAAAAGGTCGTCACTGAGATGTGAGACATTTCAAAAGAGAAAACAATCTGAAAGAAAAAATGCAGTAACAATTTATTAAATTAAGAGCCAAAAACTGGCTGAAGTGGTGCATAACCGGACAATCCTTTTTTAACACTAGACCAGGTGTAGGCTGATCTGTTGTCCACAAGGTGGCACTGTTTGACTTCAATTCATTAAATGCACCATTTTCTTAAGTTATAAAGGACTTGGTAAGAACAATAAGCAAGGCAAATGTAACTCTGGAAAGAACCACATGATGTAAAATTGATTACATTCTTTGGATGTCAGCTCCATAGTCTATGAATAAACTTAAATAGTAGAATGTTTCACTTAAAATTGTGCTTATAAAATGAGTCTAGCTGCAGTACTTTCTTTTCTTACACCTAGAATTAGGATGATGTTTTAGATTGTTGGGTTTCCCCTGCTTGCTTTGGCATTTCCTGCTATCTAAAGTTGAAGTGCGAGGTCGTGGGATCTGAAACTCCTTCCTCTTTGGTGAGTGTTACATAAACAATGGATATTAGTGATAATTATAAGTGATACTCTCAGCCCAGTAAAGGGAAATGTGTCAGCTATCATGATCGTGGCTCAAGAGTTGGCAGTTCGTCTTGTAATTGGAAGGTTGCCGGTTCGAGCCCCGGCTCCGACAGTCTCGGTC